ACGAAAGATGTGCAAAAAGTAGAGAGAAAAGAGAATCTTTAACTTTTTGGTATAGGTTATAGGCTTTTTGTTTTTTTTAGTAACTTTTTGGCTTTTAGGCTAAAACTATAACATGCCAAACGAGGCCCAATAAGTATAAAAAGCTCCAATACCAAAGCGTTGGCCTGTATAAAACTCTTCACAAGATTAATTCAAATGCCTATGTTTTGGAATTACTAGATGACATGGGAATTAGCAACATTTTTAATATTGAAGACCTAACCTTCTGTTGTGGTCATGTTGATATCTCGTCTACCGATGTTGCTATTGCTCGCCTTCCTCCAATTACTAACATTCGTGATGAGATAGAAATTGTTGTGGATACTAATGTTGTTGCAACTCAGAGTGGTGGGTACCAAAAGCACTTGGTGAAGTGGAAAAATTTACCTTTGTCAGATTGCACTTGGATTTCTGATGATGAATTTCAAAGGATTGATTGAGATTTGTGCAAGAAGTACCATTCTTTCAACTCGCCGGAGTCTAGTTTTCCCAAGTGAGGGAGAAATGATGCAAATGATATGGCAACTCCTTTTGAAAAATATTACAAAAGAAGAGGGAAACCAAATTCAAAAGCCAACATTATTATTTGGCAAGATTCTATCCTAGAATTAGCCTAGTAATGATGTCTACTACATTCAGCCAATTTTCAGCATGATAATGTTGAAAGTTTAGCCACTAGCCACCAATAAAGCCTAATTTTCAGCCTGATAATGTTGAAAATTTAGCCACCAGCCACCAAGATTTTCTAAGCATTATCATTACTTTGAAAATCTCTTTAAAGTGTATCTTTTACATTGAATTTTGTACTTCAACTATTTGTCTTAAATTGTATTGAGATGTTTATAAATATGTAAGCTCACAATGTATTGAGCACAACTTGAAGAAATAAGAAATAAGAAAGCTTTGTTATATCTCTATATGTGTGATACATCTCTCTTCTTGTGTGTGATTGCCCTTGAACCTAGGTGTGATTGGCTAGTTATCTTTGTTTTAATTACCATTTCACTTCATTATTTCTACTACATTTTCCTGCCTAAAATCAAGCTTGTTTTTCCTGTCTTAAAACTTAAATTTCAGCTCTCTAAACTCTACCGTAGAACACCAAAACCTAGCCACAATTGTCCTAAACCTCCCATGAACATTCAGCCTACCTTCTCACTTTATTTAACCTATTTTGGTGCTGAAAGTTTAAAGATCCTGCATCAATCATGTTGTAGATGTCAGTGTTTTTAAAGGCTTAAGGTGCACTAAGGCGCTGAAGGTCTCTCGGGGCCTAGGCGCGGGCTTTATTGAAGCAAGGCGTACAATCTTAGTAAAAAATAGATAGATTAACGTAGACTAATCATTCACAGTACTAAGACAATTTTTTTTAAAAATAAAAAGTAATCAAGACAAAGGGTGTGGAAAATAAATGAAAAATAATTTGTAATCTCAGTGTAATGTAATGTGTGATTAATTAATTATTTGTAATTTTTTTTTTCCTAACAGAGAAAAGAAAAAAACAGACCACCAGTGTAATATAATTTCTAATTTCAATCTAATATAATTTGTAATTTCAGTGTAAAATAATTACAAATAATTTATATTTTACCAACAGTGTAAAATAATTTATAATTTCAGTGTAATATAATTTATTTTTATTTTACATACATATATTTGGTTTTTTTTTATTAATATTTATAAATATATATTATATAAGATATAAGATAATATATACTTATATATAAGATATAGGTAAAACAGAGGCTAGATAAGACAGAGAGAAGCCGGGAGATAGAAAGAGAGAAGAGAGAGAGAGAGAAGACAAGAGGCAAAGGCGAGAGAGATAGAGAGAGCGATCGAAGTCGAAGGGAGGCCAAGTCGTCGAAGTTAAGAAGACGAAGTCGACGGGAAGTCGTCGAAATTGAGAAGATGAAGTCGGCAAAGTCGAAAGGAGGTCGTCGAAGTTGTCGCTGACCAGGTTTGTTCTCCTTTTCTCTTTCCTTTGTTCTCCTTTACTCTTCTTCTCTTTCATGTACTCTTCTCGTTGCCGTGTTGTATTACATGAGTTATAACCCTAGTTGGAGCCTCTCCCACACAGATCACAGCCGTTAGATCAAATTCAAGAAGTGAAAAAAAAAAAAAGCCCCTTAGGCTCGCGCCTTGCACCTCGCTGCGCCTGGTCCAAGTTGCATCCAAGGCGCGCGACTCTTCAAACACGCCTCGCCTGGGTCCCCTTCAGGCGCAATGGGTGTGCCTTGTTGCGCCTTGCGCCTAGGCGCGCTTTTCACAACACTGGTAGATGTAACGTTTTTTCTTGTGGCCTTGCTTTTGTTTATGAACAAGACTTTCATACATCTACTATTTTTTCCCTTGATTATTTTTTAACTAACTATTTACAGGATAAAGAATCCTCTTCCTTTGTTTATTTGTTGATTTCATTTGATTCGTAGAGAGAGCCTAGCCTCTCAACATAGGATTTTGGTATTGGATTTATTTTTTAAAGGGCAGTACCAAGCTAGGAAGGATGGTGGGCGTCGTAGGACGAGATGGTGGAACCCAAAAGGGGATAAATTAGAAATATTTAAGAATAGAATGGATAAGGAAGGTACTTGGGACTTGGAAGATGATGCTAATACTATGCGGAACTCGATGGCCAGTTGTATGAGGAGAATCTCAAGGGAAGTGCTTGGAATGTTGAAAGGAACGGGGCCCAACTCTAGGGAAACTTGGTGGTGGAGGGAAGAGGTTCAAGGGATAGTTAAGGCAAAAAAAGAGTACTTTAAAAAGTGGCAGAATGATAGAACTGAGGAAAACTTTAAGAGCTATAGATTGGCTAATAAGGAGGTTAAGAAAGTAGTGAGAGTCTAAATTGAAAGCTTATGTTGACCTATATACTAGACTAGATAGTAAGGAGGGAGAGGAGGGTATACAAACTTGCTAAGATACGGGAGATGAAAACAAGAGATTTTAATGAAGTACAGTACATCAAGAGTGAGGATTCTAAGGTATTGGTGAAGGATGAAGAGATTAAGGAAAGATGAAAGAACTATTTTGGGAAAATATTAAATGAGGAACATAGAGGTACGTCAATAGGGGAAGAAATAACTAGTAATTCGATAAACCAAAACTATAGGTTTTATCACAGGATTAGGAACTTTGAAGTGGAGATTGTACTTAAGAAGATGAATCAAATAAGGCTTTAGGACCCGATGATATCCCTATTGAAGCTTGGAAGCATTTGGGTAACAAGGGCATTGCTTGGTTGACTAGTTTGTTTAGCAAAATTTTGTTAATTAGGAACATGCTTGATGAGTGGAGAAAGAGTATTTTAGTGCCAATCTATAAGAATAAAGGAGATGTCTAGAATTGCAACCACTATAGAGGAATCAAGTTAATGTGTCATATAATGAAAGTGTGGGAGAGGGTGATGGAATGCCGATGCCGATTGCAAGATATAATAGAGGTGTTAGAGAATCAATTTGGATTTATGCCTGACAGACCAACAATGGAAGCGATCTATCTTTTGAGGAGAGTATTAGAAAAGTATAAAGAAAAGAAAAGAGACATTTATATGGTGTTTATCAACCTTGAGAAAGCATATGATAGAGTGTCTCATTATAGAATATGGTGGGTGTTAGAAAAGAAAGGGGTGACAAAATGTTACATTGATTTGATTAGGGACATGTATGAAGGGGTGGTGACCATTATTAGATCGCCTGTTGGAGAGACAAATGAATTTCCTATCATTGTAGGGTTACACCAAGGATCTACCTTAAGTTCTTATTTTTTTGCTTTAGTTATGGATGAGTTGACAAGAAATATTCATGATGATGTGCCATTGTGAATGCTTTTTACAGACGATATCGTGCTAGTGGATTAGACTAGAAAAGGAGTTAACACAAAGTTGGAGATTTGGAGAAAAACACTTGAATCTAAAGGATTCTGGATAAGCAGAACTAAGACAGAGTACATGGAGTATAAATTTAGTAACAATAACAATGAAAGTAGAGGAGAAATGAAGATTGAGAACTAAGAACTGCCTAAGAGTGAACATTTTCGTTATTTGGGGTCGATTATCACAACAGCGGGGGAGATTGATGCAAATGTGGCCCATAGGATTAAGGCCAGATGGTGTAAGTGGAAAAGTGCGTCTGGAGTACTATGCGATAAACGAATACCCACTAGACTAAAAGGTAAGTTCTACAGAACGACTATTAGACCAGTGATATTGTATGGGACGGAGTGTTAGACAACCAAGAAACAACATGTAGATAAGATGAGTGTGGCTGAGATGAGGATGCTAAGGTGATGTGTGGCAAGACTAGACAAGGTAAAATTAGGAATGAGTATATTCGGGAATGGGTAGGAGTAGCACCAATAAAAGATAAGTTGAGAGAGAATCGATTGAGATGGTTTGGTCATATTCAACGGAGACCAACAGAGGCAGTAGTGAAGAGATGCAATGCAGTGGCAGCAGATGGAAGTGTTAGGGGACCGGATAGGCCTACATTAACGTTGGCTAGCATTGTAAATAGAAATATGGATCTATTTAATTTGACTAACGGAATGGCCTTTGATAGAGCCGCGTGGAGAAGAATGATTCATGTAGCCGACCCCATACTCAAACAGTTCTAACAAGAGTAGCACCAATAAAAGATAAATTGAGAGAGAATCGATTGAGATGGTTTGGTCATATTCAACGGAGACCAACAGAGGCAGTAGTGAAGAGATGCAATGCAGTGGCAGCAGATGGAAGTGTTAGGGGACCGGATAGGCCTACATTAACGTTGGCTAGCGTTGTAAATAGAAATATGGATCTATTTAATTTGACTAACGGACTGGCCTTTGATAGAGCCGCGTGGAGAAGAATGATTCATGTAGCCGACCCCATTTGATGGGACTTAAAGTTTGGTTTGGTTATGATTCATGTAGCCGACCCCATACTCAAACAGTTCTAACAATTCTGCTCAACCCTGGTCTTAGTTCTCACAAATTGCATCACATCTACTAGGAGAAAACAATTCTGACAAACTGCATGACATCTACAAATTGCATGCCATACTCAAACAGTTCTAACAATTCTGCTCAACCCTGGTCTTAGTTCTCACAAATTGCATGACATCTACCAGCTTGGCTAGGTCTAGGTGCTCAACCCTGGTCTTAGTTCTCACAAATTGCATGACATCTACCAGCTTGGCTAGGTCTAGGTCTGCTCAACCTGAGCCTATATTCTTTGTCTTTTGGAGGCCTAGAGCTGCCCCAAGTCAAACCTGAAGTTTTTGTCTTGAACCCAACACTGTTAATGGTTGCTTGGATTGAATTAGGTTTGAGCGGGTTCAATCTTCAACTTCCCTTTTCTAAGAAGTACAAACACTTCCAAAAAAGTAGCATGAATTGTGTCGGACACCGACACTCGTTGGACACTTCTCGACGCATGTCTGACACTTATCCAAACGTGTCTTATTGTTTTTAAGAAAATTTAGACTTGGACACTCTTTGGACACTTGAAGGACACATGTGTCCATTATTTAAACGCGTGTCCATTGATTAGATTAGATACACACAAAACTAATTATAAGTTTGAACAAAAAAACTTTAAATATGATGATAAAAGAAAACCAACGCCAATGTATAGAAATTAGTGTTATTTGCATTTATTTATTGTCTTGAAATGATATATTAATATACATGACGTATAATAAATATACAAAATTAAAAATTCTGTGAGTGTCCTCTATGTGTCTTGTTATGCATTTTTTTTAAAAAATTTCGTATCAATTTGTCCGTGTCCATATTTGTGCTTGTGCTTCTTAGTTCCTTGTGATTGAACCATAAATGGAATTATGTGTTTTTCTATACACAAAGTCCAATCTACCACAAACGTGCCTTCTTAAGTTCTGTCATGATATTTACGAAAAAAAAGTTCTGTCATGATAATTTATTCTTTTCTTTGTAGAGAATGGAAAATGTCATTTGGTTCCACGATTATTTGAATTAAGCTTAAAACTTGAAGATTCATTTCCTTTTGTCGTTGTTTTCCCTTGGGTGGGTTGTGGATCCGTTTGGGTAATGCTTACATGATCAGGCATGCATCTTGTGTATGACTTGCAATATGTACCAGACAAGGAAGGTGTTGGAAGATAGATGCTTGGATAAGAAAGAAAAGACAATGATTTTAGTTCATGAGAAAAGCAATGTGTGTCATTGTGATACATATTTAATTTGTTAACCAATGCATGTAAAATAAATGATGTTGGTAAATCATGCTCGGAGGGAGTGAAATGAGAGAAAATTATAAAGAGGATTGTGTTTTTTTTAAGAAATAATCAAGGTGTGGCTTTGATTGATGGGTTAGATCTTGGTGCAATTAACAAACAAGAGGTGATTTTGCTGAATTATCCTTTTTATTCAAAAGAAGTGGTAAAAGTTTTGAAAATGTTCATTGAGGTTGGTGCTCTTGGCTCATGTGTGACTTGTCATTGTGTTAAAGATGACGATGTGATATATTTAATTCATTAAACAATGCATGTAAAATCAAATGATATTGATAAATCATGCTTGGAGGAACAAAAATGAGAGAAATTTATGAAGGGGATTTCATTTTTTTTTAAAATAATTTTTTATAAAAGAAATAATTAAGGTGTAGCTTTGATTGATTGGCTCTATTTTGGTGCAATTAACAACAAGAGATGATTTTGTTGAATTGGTCTTTTTAGTGGAAAGAAGTGTTTGAGGCTTTGAAAATGTTCAATGAGGTTGGAGCTCTCGGCTCATGTGTGAGGAGAAAGGGCCTTTGACCAAAATTGTTGGCGTGTGCTGAGTGTCGTGGAGTTTAAGGAATTCAATCATTATTGTTTAAATGGTACCTTTACCAGTAAAGTTTTCGAAGAAAGAGGAGACAATTTTCATTAATTCACAGTAAAATATATTATAATAGTAGAGGCTAGGTTACATGGACTCCGGTAAAGGTATTGGGCATGGGTGTGTGTCTAAATGCTGAATTCATCTAATTCTGTTGTCTAAGGACACGAGGACATGATAAAGTGTTCATGTTTCTTAATGTTCTTTTTATTTTAGGGTGAAATAGTGTTTACAAGGTGACAGAGCATTCCATGAATTATATGGAAGTTTCATTATAATTATATGGTAAACTTGAATTAGTAGACATGCTTATTGGATATATGCCCAACTATAAATGTTGGATACACAGTATCTCATACCCCTATACTTGAAGTTTACTCTTGAATTTTGGTCATTTTCATTTCAATAAATTCTATTTATTTAAAAATAAGTTATACAGCATTAGTTACTTTCGCTTACCTGGAACTTAATTTCGGACTTCGCATTAGGTGACCATGTGAATATTTTTACCTTTTATTTTTTTAATTTTTTTTCTTTCAAAAGTTAAACATAGTGAAGTTTTACTCAAACCACCTTTGCGATTACTTGTTTATGAGTTTGATTACATAAAGTCCTCTGACTGTGTAGATCACATCCATTGACGACATAATAGCTTATGTTGATTGGTGCTATAGGGCTTTACCTATTGAGATACTTGCGTAGGGTTTTGGATTATGCTCTCTTAGGTTGTTCAAGAATCCTTAAATAGACTGGCATTTTTGCACATCAGTTCTAGTTGCTAGTGTTTCTTGTCATGTTAAGCTGAAAATTCAATTGTTGAGCTCTGAGGTTAAGAACGTGCTTCCATTCTAAATATCTAGTACAAGTATAGTAGAATTAGCTTAGTGAAAGAAGAGGGCTTCTGCATGATTTAACTGTGTGAAAAGAAATGTCAATATTATGAACTAATTTATTGTTATATGCGGCCATGTGCTTATGCATTTGTATCGTCCTTTCCTCACTGGTTTATGGATTTTGCGTTAAGTCTGTCAGATTCTAGTTTCTTTATATTTGTATAAATTTTGATTATGTTAAGTTCTTGATTTGATTGCTATTAGAAGCTTACTATTGCATTTCATTTTATTTATCTCATAAGAGCTAATATTATTTGAAACAAACTTGAGGTTAGGATGTAATGTGGTGCAAGGTACTAGATAATCTATAAAAACATAATTTTTTATTTTCTTAAAAAAGCCATGACTATCTTGGAGGAATTTCAAGAATGAGTTTGTCGGGTCAAGTCATGGAGGGCCAGGCTGTGTTCATCTTGCCCTTGCCCTTGCAGAACCTCCTTTAGCCGGAGCCTCATGCTCTAGGTTTTCCTTCTTCTTCTTCTTTTTTTTTTTTTTTTTTTTTTTTTTCAAGTTGGATTACAAAGAGAATGACATGCTTTTTACTTCAGAATGTTTTTAACTTTGGATAGATTAAAATTTCTGAGTTGTGAATGACTTGGCAATGACAGAAACTGACATGAATTTTAGATCATCTTATAAACATTTGAAGACTAACCTATTAATAAAACTTGACAAATAATTCTAGAACTTGTTTGGAATGGTGATAAAAATAGCTGTCATGTTTAACTATGGTTTTTCTTTTTTGGTCACTCATGTTTTCTGTCCTGGTGAATCCCTTGGATATTTCGTATCATTGTATCTTTTTTCTTTTCATTTTTTTCATTGCCCGGGCGTTTCTCTAGATTTTCTTTATTTCCAAATTTTTTTCTCTTCTTTTTCCATTTTATAATATATTAATTGTTTCATTTCACAATATCAGAAACCCAGAAGGCAGATGGCTCTGTTAGACCAGTTGGAGCTGAAGACTGAAGATGCAGGGTGGGCATTTGCTTATATTGTGACTTATATTTCATTTCGCTTGGATAATTTTTAATGGACTTTGAATATTTCTTGCAGTTGACTGTCTTGAGGCATATCACATATAAATGGGAAGTTGCTGCCCATTTAACTTGGGTATTTTTCTTCCCCTAGTCTCAAAAAGGAAATTCAAAATTCTGATATTGTTGTTTTCCCTATTTCGTGGTTCTTAATGTTAGAGTTCTATGCTTGGACCTTGTTTTCCATCTGCCAAAAGAAAAAGAAAAGAAGGCAGTTTGTCTCAGTGATTGATGTCGATAAGTAGGAACACTTTGAGCTATTTGTGAAAGTGTAAAACCTCTGCGATTGTTATTGATTGTGCAACATCTGCTATGAAACATAATTAGCTGGTTTACTGCATATTGTAAACTGGAAAGATTCAGTGATTGGTTAACAGGGAGCAAATGAGTATTTACATACCTCTTTCTAAGTGTTCCATTTCAGTGAGGTCAAGTATAGCTTTCTTTGTTTGAATTAGGTTGCCTAATTTTTTTTTCCCCCTGCTGTAAATTTCTAGTAATGAATTCGATATATTGGTTGGTTGGTTATGATTTATTGAGGCAGTAAATTTTCATTTTTTTCCTTTCTCTCCCACCCTCTCCCAACCACCACTCCCCCACTTATCATCACCATTGGTCATCACATCTGGTCACCTCCACCTTTGGCCACCTTCGCAAGCAAAACCTTTTTTGGTCAATGTCACTGACCAATGTCGTCTGAGCCCTCTGGCAACCACCTTCCACTGGGCCCTGCAATCGATAATCATCTCTAGGTATCAACAATCACCTTTAGCCACCATCTCCCACCAACATTGACTTTCGACCACGACCTCTCACTAGAAATCACTTTTGGCCACTACCTCCAATGGATGACAAAGCTGGCCCTGCAGCCGCTTAGAGCCCCCATATTTGGGCCAAAAAATAAGCTTCCATTTAAGAATAATGCTTATTCTAAGGCTTAACATAATTTTTTTTTGGGTCAGATCTCAATTGAATGGAAGGCCCCAAATTTTTTTTTGAGAAATTGTTTTGATTTTTACATACTAAAACCCACCCAAGTATGCTAAATCCTAATACAACATGATTGTTTATGATTGTTTTTGTTAGAGGAGAATCCTAATTATTTTGATATTAACTTGTCAAAATTCAACTAAGTCCAGTGTTTAATACTAAACCCAAAATCGAAATTGTTTTATTAGTGAAGGGGCCAAAATAATTGATTTTACTTTATTAAATAATTTAAATTTCTTCTTTACTCAGTCACCATTTTGAGATTGAACTTTCCTAGGTTCTCTTTAGATGCTTTCAGATTTTTGTATCATTCTAGGTTTCAGTTCAATTGTTTATTAACCTAACTTGAAAAATAAAATCTCCAGAATTTGAATTGATTGTTGCTTGTTGGATTATGGATTTATTTAATCAAACTTTCTAGAAAGTATTTATGTATATATAAAATTAAAAAAATGAAAAAAAAAGTATAGAAGAATTAATTCAATCTCACGCTAGAGTTCTTGGTTCTATTTGACGAGTAGAAATACGAGAACAGTAATGCTTCCGTAATAGTGTGGTAGAGTTGGTTCAAATTTTTTGTTTTTGATATTATAACACTAGATTTTTTATTAGTATTTTTTTTTTCTTCTTCGTAAACTTTAAAATATAAAGCAATAAGGTTAGATTTTATCCTTCAAAATTTTTGTAATAATTTCTTTTTAAAGTTGATTTAATTTTGTTGTTAATGAGATCAAATATATTGATGGAATTGTTTTTGAGAAAAGTTAAATGTAGTTTTACTAAAATAAAATAAACAACATACATGAAAAAGAACACCAATAAGGTCCCAAATGACCAAACAATAAACCTAAAACAAACAACAAAATACAAAAGTTGCCTAAAAATTTAGTTGCGGTTTGGAAAAAACCACTAATCTTTCCATAGATGTGGTTTGAAAAAAAAAAAAAAAAGATCTGATTTGAACTAGATTTAAATAAAAAAATAGTCTAAATCTATCAGTACCATCGCTGTCGTTTCTACCGCCCACTACAAGAAATTACAATTTTGGCAACAAAACAAATTGTTGCCAACAACCAGTCGTTGGTCGCCAATACCTTTTGGTATACTGCCAATACCATTTGGTGACAAACAAATTTCGTCGCGACATTTGCTACCAATCCTTCCATGCTAAAAGTTTGACAAAAATATTGTTGTCTCCGAAAATTAGTTTTGCCAACAAAATAGTTTGGTTGACAAAGATGGCATCATTTTGTTAGTTTATTTGATTTGTCCCACAAAAAAAAAAAAAAAAAATGCTAACAAAGTATTCGTTGCCTAAAGAGCCTTTTTGAGACAAACCATTTTTGTTACAAACAAGTACTTTGGCAACCAACTAAATTTGTATCCAAAAGCTATCAATTGCAACAAATTAGTTTTATAGCTAAAAAATACTTCTTTTGGTGACTAAACAAATTCATCACCAAAAGTAGTGCATTGCAATAAAATTATTTTGTCACGAAAAAAAGAAATTTTTTGTGTAGTGATTTCACGACCAACCATTTTTGTTGTCAAAAATTCATTTATTTTTCTAAATTATTATTCAAAAATAAAACTGAAAATTTTGCTATCCTCAAACTATGACCTGTAATTGCAATACTCATTTATCCAAACAAATTATAAATTCATATTGTAACAAGCAATTAAACTCAAGCATTTCTAAAATCAATACTCATCCATCTAAACAAAATATAGGTCCATTCAATTCATAAATCCATCCAAAATATTTAATCATATCCATATTCTGCAAAAGTAAATACAAAATCCATCAATGACCAAAAAATAAAGACAAAGTAGTCAACACAAACTTCGTAACATCCAAATAAAATAACTAATAAATCCAACAGCAAGCGATTTCACTATCCATTTTTTAAAAAATAAAATAAAATAACAATTAGTGTATATTGAATACACTTATAACAAAAGTTATATAACTCTTCAAATTTACAAGTATAATACTAATTATGTAGTCGGACATTGTATTGACTAGCCATTAGCTTTGCCAACTATTTTTAGACATAGGTAAGGTGTCTGTGTTGTTCCTTTCTTTTATTTTTTAAATTTTTTTTTGATCAGCAAAATGAAGATAATTTTATTGACGATAAGCAAAATACATACTGATAATACATAAAGGGATGGGTACAATTTGCATCATAGCAGCACAAATTAATCTCAACTAAGTTGGCACCGAAATGTATGCCCAATCATGTGCAAATACACCATCAAGGGTTAGTGAGATGCCTATAAAACAAAAGAGAAAAGCATCTTATACTAGTACAACTAAGTATAAATAAGAAGAAAAACAACAGGCTTTGAAATAGAGCATAAAAATGCATCATACCAGGTGTTATAGGGTCAATTTTCGTTTCAAATTTTTAGCCTGCAATGGCACTAAGTTACAACACTTAGTCTCAGCCAATTATGAATACACACCCACAAGAAGTGTTAAAACAAGTAAGAGAGTAGGCAGCAAGAGATTACAGAAAAATTCCCAACCTTTATTAATTGCACCAACAATACAAATGAGTGCCAATGGTAACTCTTGCAAAACACTTAGTTATTTTTGAGTTCCATGGCATGCCTTAAATAGGCTTACAGTCAGTTACAAATTACAACTAGCATTACAAGGAAAGCATGCCAAGTGGCATGGCAGTTGACACCCCCAACTGCCTAGGGACTTAGGAACAATTCTGGGACTAACTGCTCATAACTGCTATTGTGTCCAGCCTTGGTTCCTGATTTTCAGGCTTGCCTTGTCTTTGCCCAACATAAGTAACTGCTGCCAACAGATATGCATAACTGTTGTTAACTGCCATGTTGTTTTCCTTATCAAGTCAGCCACGAATTTGGTTGTCTTGGTCCCCAGACCAAGTTTTGCATATTGATTACTTTGAACCCCCAAGTATGCTGCAGCCCACATTTGGGTCATGTTAGTGCCTTGCATTTGTGCAACTGCTGCCCATACTTTAGCCAAGGGTTGAGTGTTGATGCCTCAGCATTTTTGCCAACTTTTCACCTTGCTGTCTTGGCATGCCACCAGTATGCCATGGCCTCGGTTGGACATTGGCGCAAGGTGTTTGCCAATGCCAAGCATGTAGCCTTCAAGTAGAAGGTGCTAACACCAGGCCACAAGTACAAACCTACAGGACAGTAATGAAGAGTGGGCGACAAGCATAAGTAGCTAAATGAAACAGAATATAGCAGTGGTGGAGTAATTACAAGGGGTTGGACAACTTCATTTAATGCAACCTTTCACCTTGATACTCTTAAATCCATCCAAACAAAACAAAAAATCATTGATTGAGAACTTCACCCATGTTGCTACTTTGATCTTTATACTTTCCACAATATGTTCTTTGTTATTGATTTTTTTTTTCATTTCTTGCAATCCAGAGAGTCCAAAGGACTATAAGTGGAATTGCTTCCCAGATTAGCTTTCCCATATGCTTAACTTTGCAACCATACCACCAAAGTAACAAATTTGACACTGACTCTGGTGGCTGTTTTATAATTTCACCCCTAAACGGCCCATTTTAGGTTAATTGTTCACATTTTTTGCTCTAATTCTCTAATGGTACATCTTATAGATGCGCCATCGGCTCTCACAAGTTTGATTATAGTTAGGTGAAATGTTTGTAATGTTTCTTGCACTATTTGCTGGCTGGTTAAAAAAATTTCCCCCAAACAGCTCATTTTCAATTATATTTTCACATTTTATGTGCTAATTCTCTATCCATACATCCTATAGACGTACCGTCAGCTCTTCCAAGTTTGATTATAGTTAGGTGAGGTGTCCATGTTGTTTCTTGTGCTGTTTAGTGGTTGCTTTAAAATTTTGCCCCCAAACAGCTCATTTTCGGTTACATTTTCACATTTTTTTTTCTGCTAATTCTCTATCCACACATCCTATAGACGTGTCGTTGGCTCTTACAAGTTTGATTACAGTTAGGTGAGGTGTCCAAGTTGTTTCTTGGGCTGTTTCATGGCTGCTTTAAAAATTTACCCCCAAGTGGCTCGTTTTCGGTTACATTTTCACATTTTTTGTGCTAATTCTCTATCCACACATCCTATAGATGTGTCGTCGACTCTCACAAGTTTGATTATAGTTAGGTGAGGTGTCCAGGTTGTTTCTTGGGCTGTTTGATGGTTGCTTTAAAAATTTTACCCCCAAACGGCACATTTTCGATTACATTTTCACATTTTCTATGCTAATTCTCTATCCACACATCCTATAGACGTGTCATCGGCTTTCGTAAGTTTGATTATAGTTAGGTGAGGTGTCCAGGTTATTTTTTGACTATTTGATGGTTGCTTTAAAATGTTTGCCTCCAAACGGCTCATTTTCGGCTATATTTTCATTTTTTCTGCACTAATTCTCTATTCG